AGGGAGATCAGAGAGATGCAACTCTAATGCTGCCTCATAAATTAATTCCTCCACTGCCTCACCTCTGAAATATTAAACTCCAACACCCTACTGCCCTATCTTTCCACCATTCACTCCCTTGCTCTCATATCTGTTCTTTGATTTCATGTGAAACTTCCACTCTCTTCTTCCCTCAACCTTCTTTCAACGTTTCAGCCCGCTCTTGATTTTACTGTTTTCCCGGGTAAGCTAGTGTCAGTTCCCTATCATTTCATCCGTTCTCTAGCCAATATCCTTAAATTCCTTGCCCCTGTAGCTCAAGTGCCCACACAGCAAAACCTTGTTTATCTATCTGCCTTCTTTATTCTTATCCTCAATTTGCTAGCTTCGGCTAAAGAAAGTCAAACATTACAGATTAATGTCACATGGTTTCCAATATTAGCTGAACCCTGAACATTGTGCAGAAATATTATAACTAGGTACTTCCTTCTCACATGGATCTGAAGTAACATATTAAAATTTTTGTTTTGCAACATGGAAGAGCATGATGGGAAATGCATGGACTTTGGGGTCATGTGGGTTAGAGTTGAATTCTAGCTCTTTGCTGCCTATAAGGTCTTGCTTAACTTCTCTGGGTCTTCTTTTTCAGTCTTCAAACTGGAGCTGATATTAACTGTTGATGACAGATTGTTTTGAAGATCACAGAAAATATGTAACTGGCTTAACTGCTATCCACTGTATTCTATTGAAAACCTACCTTTCTGCTGACTACATCTCAATTCAATTCCATAATATTTTGGACATTTTAAGTTATTTCAGCAGTCCTCTTCTCCACTAGTGCAGGTTAGATAGAGGGCTCCATGTTTGTGCGCACGTAGTGAAGGCATCATCTGCTTTCTTGAATTCTACACTGTATTCCTTCCACTTTCCCTCTTGTGTGTTAAAGGAAGACAGACAGAAAAAAAAAAATTGCCTCTTTATACATTGTCAAGATTGCTGTCCTCTTTCATTGTAAATGACCTTGTATCTTTTCTATAGGTTTAGGTATGATCAGGTAGTGACCACAGTAAATTCCATTGACAAAGACATCAGTCCTAAGCAGTTCCAGGAAACATTGATGGTTCCTTGGAAGACTGGCTGAATTCCTTCCCAGATTAACGTCCTACCCAAAAGGCTGCTTCAGCAGTCCATATCTTTTCTATTTTCTCTTTGGCTATTGCATCTCAACTCTGGAGCAAAAGGAGAAGGTGGAATTCATTTTCTGTATCTCCCAGATATCAGGGACTGGAGATGAGGTGCCCTTGCCCTCTTGGCCTGGCCATACCACTTGGCTACATCTCCCCAATCTTCCTTCCTCTTATTTAGTAGTGCCAGGCAGGACAAAAACCCAGTAGCTAAGCAGATATCTACAGGGGGAGCTCAGGGAATCACAGCCTAGAATGAAGGTGTCAATGAACTTGGCCCCAAAGAATTTAGTAAATATTTCTCAAGAATGTAACATTTCACCACAATCCCTGGACCAGTTAGTAACTCCAAAAGGTCAGGAAAAGATGTTGATCAGTACTTGACTCCATTCTGGAACATGTCTACCAAGCATCATCTATAACTGACCTGGGCATACCAATGAATGTTTTTTCTTGGTGAGGTATAACAGCGCTCCATTTCTAGATTGTGTGCCCATGCCACCAATATAGTGTGCACACGTTCATTGTCCTAAGGACTGCTCATTTAATCCCCACAACAATCCAATGAGGCATTTACTATTATAATTCCCCAGTTGCAAATGAGGAAATTGAGCCACAGAGAGGTTAAGTAATCTATATGTCTTCCATTCACTTTTGTAGAGTTGAATGTATCTGTTAGAAGACCAATTAAGATTTTCAAATCCATCATCAAAAGACATAGTTTCTTAGTTTTCTTTTTTCATTATTAGGAATGATTGAGATTATAACAACCCATAATAAATTGAGCAACTTGTTATTTTTATGACCTGGAAAAGGTTATATATCATGGTCCTTGTTATATACTTGATCCACTGGAATTATCTGTTCCTTTGGATTTTTAGGCTTCATTTACAAATCTGTTTCTATCAAATGGCAATTGTTCTTTAAGAACTATTTTAATCTTAATTGCTTTGGTTTATTTTGCTACATTTTGTTGGTTTTGGTATTTTTGTAAACATTAACTTCTCATAAGGTTACCCCATATTATGCACAAGTTTTTCTTCTAATTTTGGAATATTACTTTTATCCATTGTTATATCACTCTTCAGTTCTCTGGTTGTTGTTTGCTCATTATGATAAATTTATGTAAGAAAAATACATATAAGTTCAGCTTAATCAGTTCAGAGATTCATGTACAAAGAATTTAGGACTTATGAATGGAACATTTATTTTTCATTTTAAAATAATCTTTTGATTGCAAAATTTTAAATAGTTTAATATGGTTTGATATTAAAATGCTGTTTTTAGTATATTTTCCTTTTTGTGATCTATTCTATATTTTTAAAAAGTTCCCTCACAAAACATTATCTGAATTTCATGTAAACAACCAAATTTATATATATACCCACACAAACATACACAGTCACTATTTTCATTACTTGCATTATCTCTGCTTATAAGAATAAATATCAAAATACTAAAGTTCAGTAATAAATGTGTTCACTTGTGATATTCTCCTTATGGTCTTCATGTTCACAAAAAAACAAAAATATGCCAGTTTAAAACATCAGGCTTGGTAATGGTTAGAATAGGTAATCCTTAGGCTCTGGACCTTGTGCTATGATAAATTTTAATCATTATGAGAACTATGGAAATGGGTATATTATTGATGTGTGGAAAAATATTAGTTCAGTATATACTCAGAATCTATATGTTTAAAAAAATGGATGGTTACATTTTATTTCATACACATAATATTTTCACTTAGTATTTCAATTGTTTTAATTACATTAGATCTCTATCCTCCAAGTTTAATTATAGGAAGTCAGAAATGTTCATCTTTGGTGCCAACTGCAAAAACAGCAACATGTTTTTCCTACTTGCTTTTATTCTGTCTGTAATAGGTATTGAAATATTTTACGTAGTCTCAACTTCATACATACTTTTTGTGTGTGTAGTAGTAGCATGCTCTTCACATTGATAAAAACATGTAGAAAACTGGAGTAAACAATTTTTAAAAAATACTGCTTTGGATTGAGTGGCAGTTGGCAAAGTTTTAGAATAACATATCAGCATTTATTAAACTTGCAAAGCACCAAGTTATATGTGTAACAGTTCATATATTTCTCAGAACTGTATAAAACAAGTTTGGTATTTAATAGATGTTATATGTAATATAAGATTATGGTAACTACACATCATGAAAAAAAAGATACTTTAATGTGGAGTTGACCTTGAGCAACCAACTTCCATGCACTAGAAAATCCAGGTATAACTTTTGACTTCCTAGTTGTCCCTCTGGGGATTGGTTCCAGGGCCCCAGTGGATACCAATATCTACTGATGCTCAAGACTCTTATATTGTATAAAATGGCATAGAACAATGCATACAGTCAGCCTTCCCCATCCGTAGATACCCCATTGCAGATGGAAAATACTGCTTTGATCTGCAGTTGCTTGAATTTGCAGGTGGGAAATCCCGGGGAGACAGAGGATTTGTTGAAAAAAAGAAATCCTAATAAAAGTGGACCCACACAGTTCAAACCCATGTAGTTAGTTCTGTAGTTTCCGTAAATTCTTTTTGAAATTTATTTTTTTAGTTTTTTTAAAAACCTGTACTATTCAAGTGCCATTTTAAATGAGCTAATGAACATTTAAATGAGGAAAAGAAACCAATCACATTCTTCTTTCATGTTTCTATTCTCAGAAACAGTTGACTCTTGGACAACTGTTCATGATTTGGAGAAATAAGTGGAACTTTACCAGAGGGAGACTAAATGTAAAACTGCAACTAGATAAATCACAACACAAATGTGTAAGTGGTGGACTATAAACCTAAATATAATTTAACCTCTAAAAGTTTGAAGTAGTATTTCCCAAGTATAGGGTGTTTAAAGACAAGTATAAGGCCTTTATTAGCAAACTTTCAAAACAGGAAAAAACCTCACTGGACTCAGTCTGTTAAACCGGCTTTGTAGTTTACCTCTGATGCATCCGACAGGCGCAGAGCCCACCTCCTGCAGTGTTCGACTAATATTTGTTAAATTAACTATTTTGTATCTAAATGTTGGGAGGATTATAATTTTGTGAAGTAAGATTTGAAAATGCCCTTCCCGGGATACCAGCTCCTACACTCTAGGTTCAGTTTAAGGATAGGAACTAACCACGTGGAGAAGGAACATGAAGGTGTGAGTGGTAAAACGAGTTACTCTCCCTTTGCGTACCCTGGTGCCATTTTAACTTTCTTTTGGTTGCTTATCAGTATCCGTGGGCTACTATATTGAAATTTCCCACCCCTCCCTGAACCTTTCCGTACTAAATACCCTTGGGTCTTTTTCCGACTCTACTTGTAACTGCGCACATCCCATGCTGGGGCCATTTGGTTACCTGTCTCCCCTTACAATTTGCGAGGTTATGAAAACGACGTCTTTTCATCCCTCACAGTGATCTATAAACGATGTTCGTGTAAGGCACCATGATGATATTAATCTCAATTCCAGATGAGTCTGGGAGTCCCTCAGCCTCTCCCAGATTAGTCTTTATCTCAGCCGTTGTGCTCCTAAGGCAGGTGTTCCATGTCTCTCTCGACAGGTGCCCCGCAGGACCTCAGAGATTACCCAAGGGAGGGGGGTTACTGAAAGATGGGGTGCCAGGCCATGTTACCGCCTTCTTCTCATACAGCAAGGCGCGGAGACGGCGAAAGAAGGATGCTGGTAGTTCGCATGGTCCAACCATTCGCCGCCAGCGGACTAAAACGAAGGGTGTAGTCACCACTACCCGTGCGCAGTCCCCGCCCCACGCGCCGTGCACGCCTTATGTAAGCGCCCTAGGCCCCGCCCCCGCCAAGCCCCGCCCCCGCCCCGCTGCGGCTGAGGCTTTGCTCGGAGCCGCTGAGCCTAGGCTCAGCCAGGAACCGAGCCGCCGCCACCGCGGAGCCGCCGCTTCCCGGGCCCGGGCCTCAGCCCTGCCGGCTCGGCTATGGCAGCAGCAGCCGCCGTCGCCGCCGTCGCGGCGAATCTGTCCCCTGCGCTCTCCGCTCGTCGCTGAGCAGCCGTTAACCAGCCCGCCCTCACGCCGGTGCCGCCGCGGCCCAAGCTCCGCACAAGTTTCCGCCGCAGAAGAAGCAGGAGGCGAAGGCGGGGGAGGACAAACGTGGGGAGTCGAGCGTCCCCAGCCCACCCGGCCTTCCCGCCCGCGATGTGGGGGCGCTTCCTGGCCCCGGAGGCCGGCGGCCGGGACAGCCCGGGCAGAGCCCGCAGCTTCCCAGCGGGTAAGTAACGGGACGGTCTCCTGGCTGTGGTTGGGGTCGCGGGCGACCGCTGAGCTTCGGGACCCCGCCGCCGTTCGCCTCGCTCCCCGGGCCTGGCTTCTCCTAGCCGTCTCCCCGACCCCGCCACGCGACTGACCACCCGCCGCGTTTCCTCCCGGCCGCCGACACCCCGACTCCGCGGGCTGACATCTGGCGGGCCACGTTCCCGGCCCTGTCAGCCCGCATCGCGATCTCCCAGCCCCAACTTAAAGCTCTCCTTGGCCTCTTCGAGTTGGGCTTTGTTGTCCATCCTCCTCTCTCTCCCTCGTGCGGTGTGTAGCGGACGTGGATAACGGGGCTCTCAGGGACTCGGGCCGTAAGGTCGCTGCGTCCGTGCTGCCGCGGCGGCGGCGGCGGCGGCGCCTTGGGGCGCGCCTCCGTGGGCCGCGGTCCTCTGCGCCCACGCCTGTAGCCTCTGCTTAAGGGCGCGTTTGGGGGCGGGAGGAGGCTGCTGGTGATGCCAACGCTGCAAGTGACCCCCGAGGGGACTTCAGCCCCACACTGAAGCCGGGCCACCTCCCCGCAGTCCTCCTCAGTAAGGGGATGACACGCTTTGGAGAGCCAATCGATCTCTGAGCAACGAGGGTGTTAATCCGTTTGCAGTTCTTTTGCCTCTCCCGTTCCCGTTCAAGGAAATTTTGGGGTTTGCCGCCTTGGATTTAAGAAGAGAGCTGTTTGTGTCCGACAGCCATTTCATGCCTGTATCGCTCACAAGTTGTGTAGCAGCCACCAAATTTGGATAAATCTTACCTTAATTTGGGATGAAAAATGAGACTAGGACAGTCTGCGACAAGTTGTTTGATGTTGACAGTTATTCCAGACACTTTAATCTTAATTGTATTTTGAACCCTTTCGAGAAGTTGAAAGTTACTGGACCCTTTATCCAGGAAGAGACGCCATATGTACATACATTTTTTCCTTAGTATTTTAGGTGGTTCTAGGACTCCTGTTAAGTGACCTTGTTCCATAAAATGTTTGGGCTCTATTTGTGTAGTTGACATTTTTGTATATATTTTTCAAGCTATTTTCAAAACAAAAAAGCGGAAGCAGGATTTGGAAGTTTTTTTTTTTCTTTTTCTTTTTTGCTGGTAGTATTTTCTATTTAAAAACTATCAGATATAAACTCAGATTACTAATTAAAATGTAAAATAATGCAATTCCATAACAAATAGAAATTGTATATATACTCAAGGTGTACAACTTGATGTTTTCATATGTGTACATTGTGAAATTATCTCCATAATCAACTAGTTAACATAGTCATCGCGTCACAGTTACCTTTTCTTTTTGGAGGGGGCGGAGCGGTGTGTAATGAGAATACTTAAGATCTGCCCTTTTAGCAAATTTCAACCTTACAATACGGTATTGTTAACTGTAGTCACCATGCTGTGTATTATATCTAGAGATATATCCCTTTCAAAACCCAGGGTTAGATTTGAAATAATTTTGTTAAATTTGGTCATGCAACACTTTTAGAAATAATAGTAAAAAAAATGAGTAAGAAATTGTTTTCTTTAAAATGTATAGTATTTGCCCTAAGAAGAGGAGATAGCAGTTGAGAGGTTTCCGATGCTTAAGTTTAGGAACAAATATAAAGGACGCAGGGACTCGGACTTAGGGTGGGGATTGACTGTGGAAGGGAGGGGTGGGCGGGGCAGGGGAGCGCTAGGGGGGAGGGGGCATTGGGACAGCAGTAATTGAACAACAATAAAAAAAAAAAGTAAGTTCAGTGAATGAGGAGACATTTCTTTATCCCTAAGAGGCTAGAGGGAGTGGTTTCAATGTCAGAAGCCATCTGTAATGTCTTTGTAACTTAACCATTTAAAATTTATTTGTAATATTAGCATGTTTGGAGGAATAATGTCATCCAAGAATTGTATCAATTTTTCTGTTGTTATTTCTATGAGATAGAAAACATAATGCCTAGAAGATAAGTAACTGAAGCTTTGAGGTTATAGTGTAGTCTTTAAACCTTTGCTGTGGCAAAGAATATAGTGGAAGAAGATACTTTATAAATACTAACCAAGTTTAATGAATTTGGACAGTATTTCTTTATAAGGCATATATTTTATCTTAGTTTTAATAGTGATAAACTGTTGGTAAGTCAGGATATGCCTTTCCAATAACGTTTTTTCAGCTGTATGCTGGTAATTGATTACTTTTATAGTAATAGTGATGAAATTATTTGTTATGTTACTTGATTCTCTTCTTGAGTAAACAAATATTTAAAATTATTTTCATTTAGTTTAAAAAAGTTATACATTACATGAAAGACTTTGTGTGGTTTCTTTAGCAAGTGAACAGATGGTGAAGGTCAAGATAATGACCTCTGATTGATTCATGTAGGGATTTATTTTCCTTCCTGAGAATTTGAAGAAAGTGCATATTTTAAAAATATTGTTCAGTACATCTTTTGACTAATGAGTGCTTTTCGGTCTTTTCTGAAAACAAAGGGAACCAGTTTTCTAATTGAATTAATCAGGAATTATTTTGGTCCTGAAGGTCAGTGTGAAGACAAGGATAAGTAAATAATTTCCGATATTAAAATGGGTTTTTCTCCATATGTGGGTTAAGTCTAGTTTCTGAAAACTGGTTTGTTGATACAAATATATAACTAGACTAAAGGGAAAACCAAAGGTAATACAGAACCAATGTCCTAAAAAACTGGAGAAAACTTTCTTTTTAAAGTAACGGCAGTAAAAACAAATAGGAATAATAATATGTGTGGTGTGGAAAATACTGAACTTTTAACCTTTGCTTTAGGATTTAATTTTGTTTTTGCTTTACCAACAGTTTTTCAGCTTTATACAGTAACTGTATTATAAATGAAAATAAGGTAAATATTTTCTTATTTCTGTGCACCCCTCACCCCTTTATTCTTTTTGTTGGTTTGGCAAGTGTAGTTAGAAAGCTGATTTTAAATAGAACATGTGATATATCTTTTTTGCATCTGGTTGAGTATTTGAGAATTAATTAAGTATATAATTAAGAATTATTATACTTAAAATGTATAATAATTTCAAATTTGGATGAAAGATGGATGTATTTCCTTTACGGGTTAAAAATCAAGTATGATATAGTGATATTTTGAGTACTTATACCTAGGTATATTGAATTAGTTTCTTTTTGTAAATCATACTTTAAAAATGTTAATATATTCAACCTTAAAACATTTGGAAGTAGGGTATGCCAGTTTAAAGTGTGCTAAAAGTAAAATGTTATAGAGAACACTTACATGGTCGGAAGAAATGTCACTTGTTTAGTGCCTTGAGCTTTTAAATGTACCTCTTCCGAGTTGATGCATTGCCACAAAGTAATAGTGATGTCATAATGATAGTGGTAGTAACTAATACTAAAATTTTCAAATTTTCAAATGCTAAAATTTTCTGGTGCTATTCTGAATTAGGTGGACCTAAAAGTACTGTAGTAACAATGAAACGTAACTCTTTCTCCTAAACTCTACTGGGTATGTTCTTTTATAATAGGCATTGGTGGGTGAGGGGTCAATCTCAACTTTAATGATGACTTTTGTGAAATTAACTTGATTAGTAACTGAAACTCTATCACTTCTTGGCCTGAATGAAGCTGGTAAATTGAGTCCAGGCAATAAATGGTGAGTTGACAAACTTTTGTCATGTTGTGAATATTTCTGTATGTTGAAAACAGAAAGATTTTACAGAGTCATGATTTTTCTGACTGGATGAGATGTGTTGTATGAGAAAAAGATGATAATGTGAAGGTTCCTAGGTAGTATTTTACTGAGTGATAGCCTAATTACTTCTCTCAAATTGTGTCTTAAAAAATGCAGGATGTGCCCTGGCTGGTGTGGCCCAATGGATTGAGTGCTGAGGGGTCACAGGTTGCTTCCTGGTTGGGGCATGTGCCTGGGTTGTGGGCGGGTCCCAGTTGAGGGCATGCAGGGGGTGGCTGATCAATGTGTCTCTTGCACATTGCTGTTTCTCCCTCTCTTTCTCCCTTCCTTCCCCTCTCTCGTAAAGTAAATAAATAAAACCTTTTAAAAAAATGAAGAATATGGTCATCTACATAATTTCTAAAGCTACAATGAGATACTAATTATTATGACCACTTTAAGGATTTCATATTTTATACCAGCAAAATAATAATCTAAAAAGTGGGATTTATTGTATAAAGTTATTTATTTTAAGAACGAGAATGATCAACATAAAAAAGAACATCAAATTGCTTTTTATACTAATATTTTACTTCTACTTTCTATTTTTCTTTAATTAAAAAAAATACAGTGTTGTTACCTGGCATAGTGCTTGGCACATAAGCACTTGGTAAATGTTTGTGAGTCGTAGGCATTGTACTGGACTCTAAGGATACATCATTGCACAAGACAGATAAGGTCCCAGATCTGAGGAAACTTACATTCTAGTGGGGATAAACAGTCTGTAAGTAAACTAACAACAAGATAATTCAGCTAGTGTTAAGTATGACAAAGAAAAGAAAATAGGGTGAGGTAGAAGACAATGAGTAGAGAAGCCTGCTTTGAGTAGGCTGCTCAGGAAAGGCCTTCTCAGAGAGGCCTGAATGATGGGAAGGAGCCAGACATGAGGGAAGGAGTGTTCAGGCAGAGAGGGTACAGAAACAGTCCCATGATGGGAATTTGGGGATTTGGAGGAATGTGAAAGCTGGAGAGTCTGGAACATAGTAAGCAGGGATGTGAAGTGATGGAGGTCTGATGATGGAAGGCAATGTATGAAGTTTGGATTCTATTCTACAGGAGGGAAACTAACTATGAATGGATGGGAAGATGACTGATCATTCTTCTATTCAGCACACATTGAGTGCCTGCTGTGAGACATTGTTTTATGTACTTGGGGAATGGAGCAGACATCCCTTACTTGTCCTTGGGGTTTACAGATCTCATCTGGCTCCTTTTGTGGGGGTGGGAAAAATTGTGGAGGGGTGGGGGAAAGAATAGTAGTAGAGAAGCA